ATGCACGGTCCCTCGTACGTCTTGTCGCATTACCCGTAGTGGCCACGACGCTGATGGCATCTTAATCTAGATCATGCCACCTTGGGCTTCTTACCCGGACTCCATGATACCAAAACCTCATGCGGCTTCCTCTTCTTCTCCATCTTCATATCCATATCCCTCTACCTGGCTTACTCAATCATATCCTCCGGCATCTTATAGTTGGATCGGCTCACAAACTGCTGAATGTCAGTCCTCAAAATCTCATGATATTAGGTCTTCTTCATCTCCTCATCCGCCACATACTGCGGGACCAGAAGTGCCCTCTCTCTGAACATAACAGTGATCTCACCTACCATCTCAGTAGTCTGGTGGAGATCCAGGAACTCTCACGTCAACTGTTGCACCTTAATCACTAGTGTAAACTCAGCTCGAAATCGTGTCGAGAAATCATCCCATGACATCACATCAACAACATAATCACCTAGTGTACAACCTACCTCCCCCCACCAGTCTCATGTTATGTCCTTCAAAAGGTAGGAAGCTAATCTGACCTTGTCGACAACGAATGGTGTGGAACGCGTTAGCAACATCTTCTAACCACCGCTTGCTTGCAATGGGGTGCTTCACCCCATGATAATCTTGAGCTCCACATACCTAGAATTTGCTGAATGTCAAAGATCATGCTCTTGCTAACACCATCATCTCATAATGAAATGAGCTTAATCATTCATTCAAAATATCTAGGATACCCTCCTTGACCAAGCCGAAGATCACAAGAGTCTGATCAAGAATGCTACAAGTAATCTTTGATGAGAGAAACTCCCTAGTCTGCTAATTGAGCTGCCTGGCTCCGGATCCTGATCCCGAACCCTCATCGGCCCCAAAATTGTCAATAGGTCTACCCCGCAATACCACCATACTAAAAATAGACCATATAAACCATCAGATCACACACAACGAAATATATATAATTAAGAATCACACATTCCTCAAGCTCCTTTGTCTTATGGCAGCTCTCCTTGAATCGAATACAAATCCTTTGCTTCCAGTAGTACGGGCCCATACTACCATCCACCTTTATCTGTACTTTCCTTAAGAATTTCTTTGACTCAACCAAGTTACTCAATATCCATACAACCTTCCCTCACAGATAAGGCTCCTAGCACTAGATCTCATCCTAGGATTTCCTAGGGCAAACTCCATACCACTCTCCACCTTCAGCTGTAGAAGGAACTCCCACTAAATTTCTCTAACTAGCTCACAAATATCATTACATATCAGTAAAACTAGATAATTCTTCAAATGAGAGGTCTCACACTAAAAAGGTTGGACTCACACAATAGCTGCGCAATGGAGTTAAAACCTAACCCTGTAAATTTTTTTAGTTCTCATAATATGTAACTTAGCATATTCGTTCACTAGTTAGCTAAAGCTAGTTAGAACTCCTAAAAGCACAAAGCAAGCGACATTCGAGAGTCAAGTATCGGAACCAAGCATAACCTAATCAGGCCATCCTATCACTGACTGATTAGTACTAGCATGCAAGTCTACATGCTCATGCAATAGGCATACAATGGCATCTCTCCTAGCATTCCATCATGCAAAAACTGAGCAGATCCTTAGCCCTAACTAGCGTGCGGTTCTTAATTTCACATATCAAAGTATAAAATTAATATGTATGGGTAATTTGGGAAAACTTACTTAAGCTCGACTGATTGCATGCACCACACCCTTTCTTATTTTAGAAAACCCTTTTCTTAAAATATGTTTCTTTTAAAAAACTTTATCAAATCCTCAGTTTGAGTTTAGACACACCCGAGAGTGTGTCCAAATCCCTCAAACCAAGGCTCTGATACCAACTTGTAACGTCCCAATAATATAGTCCAAATTTTCATTTTTAATTTAAGTAAAACAGTATTCCAATCATCAAACCTACATCCCAAATAAAACAAATGTATCAAATATCATAAAACCAGGGTATAATGTCAAGTGTGGAATCCACGTGGTGTGTGCAATGTAGTCATCCTGAGATCTTCCCCTTGGAACCGGAAGTACCTGAAATACAAACTGAAAACCGTAAGCACAAAGCTTAGTGAGTTCCCTAAACTACCATATACCATACATAGTTAGTCACATATTGGGCCCCCACCCGACATTAGGCCTCGCCCGATATCGAGCCCTACTCGGTTTACAGATCTATTATTCTCAGGCCTCTCCTATCATTGGGCCTCTCCTGCTCCACACATACAATATATATCACATAGTCATGCTAATACATATAATGATCATAAACACTAGCATATGTTCTAGTCATCAGGCCTCACCCGACATCGAGCCCCGCCTGGTATACATAGCAGCACACAACACATGTAAGGGTCACGCAAACTCCTAACATCCTAACATAATCAATAAGGGCCAACATTGGTGTCTTAGACCCAATAAACCCAATGAGGAATTCACCTCGGATACTGAATCTCACTGAAAGAAATCCCTAGCTGCTGCCCTGACGACTCCCCGAGCTACCAATACAAAAATCACACCCAACTAACACTTGGGTTCCAATCTATAGTCCATAATCCATACTTGGGGTAAAATGACCATTTTAACCCTGGCCTAGCTTGAACCAAAACTGAGGCCTAAATCCATGAACCAAAAAGGCCCAAAACCAATTGATCCACTAAGACCGACTTATAGCCTAATTTTCGAAATTGGGCCCAACCCCCATATGGGCCTTACCCTAAAGCCGAATAAATTTCCTTTAACCCAAAATCTTGATTTCAGATGGCCTAAAAGGACCAAAGCAACAAAGTCCAAAGAAGTGGCCTAATTGAGGCCCAAAGATGAGAAGTCCAAACTTACTGAGTACACAGGGCGTACTCAACTATATGCTAAGTGTACGCGTCGCATGGCTTATACGCTGCGCATACTGACTGTACGCCTATCATACTCCTCCATTAAGCCATTTCTTCCATTAAGCTCTTAATGCTTAAGCCTAACGGTCTAAAACACAGATCTGAGTCCCAAAGAGTATCTAGAACCATAAAGCCACTGACTTGGTAACTTTCGTGCCCCAAAAGATTCCAACTTCGATTTATAACATTCTACTTACAATATAATGGCCATAACTCATGCATGGATGGTTCTAAGCTTCAAAGATGACAACTTTATGACTCTTGGGCCAAAGAGCACCAAGAGTAGCAACACTAAGCTTCAGAAATGATAATAAACCACAAGATCTCATCTATGGGACTAAAAAGGGTCCAAAGCTTAAAAAAATTAAAAAAAAAAAAGAGAGAGAGAGAGATCTAAGCTATAACACAACAAGTTCAGAGCTTTATACCACAAATGAGTGCCAAATGATGATGATAACCCAGATCTACAAGCTCTCACTCTTCCAATGAAGCTTCACGATGATCTTCTTCCTTCAAAACACCAAAAACACACCCAAAAGACATTCTAAGCTCAAGAACACTCAACAATGGAGTTAGGGTTTCGAGTATATGGCTAGGAGGACAAGGAAGTTGAATAAATGAGGGTTTCAAGCCATAAGGAAGATTATATAGTGGCCTACCCCGGAAATTAGGGTTTTCAAAAGTTCTTACGTACACCCCGCGTATGTTTCTGTACGCGCAACGTATATCCGGATCTACGATCAAACCCTCGCATGAGTACGCCAAGCGTACTACTTGGTACGCCCCGTGTACTCACTTTACAGCTTGTACGCTAAGCGTACCTTGTGGTACGCCCCACGTACAACTCAATGACTGAATTGGACAATTTAAATAATGCAAGGGCAAAAAAGAAACTTACCAAGATTCAAGTGTTACAAGACCGGAATATTTGAAGCGGTGAGTTTAATTAGAGAATGGGTTGTGGCGTTGATGAGAATAATAGTCTCACCTGTCATGGATTTTGCAGCAATTGAGACAGGAAGGATGAGGATCAAGATCTCGGCGGAGTTTTGAGATAGCTCTAATACCATATAATGATATTGATCGAAGGGATGATTATTGTATATTATTGCCGTTTGATTATTGGATATTATTGTTGTTTGTATCATTGACTTTATAGCCATTAGGCATTTATAGAGAAGTAAAGGACGTATATAAGGGAGATAATTAGGGAACAGACGGTTGACATACTCTAGACATGGTAATTGAATCAATTAGAACTGAAGATATTTAAAACTAGTGTATATCTGTAATAGTTACTAAGTTTTGTCTAACAAATAAGTTGTCACCTAACCAAATGATACTTGTGGTTTCTTCTTTACCCCACGCTCATAACGTTCCATACTTTTACAATATGTAAGAAAATCTTACACTCTAGCACGAATCTTAATCCACAACCACTAGGTTCGAAGACTTGGATTTTAAATAGTTAAGCCACTGTTTTCTTTCCAATTTTTGCATATATCAAATACAAAGAACATACCAAGAAATTTCATATAGTACTTAAAAATTCCTTTTCCATGGATCATTCTTGACCCCAGCCTCTGATGAAAATTCATAATATAAGTTCGATTACATCATCTAGTGACGTGCATGGTTTAACCTCAGCCTTTTAATTAAAGAATAAGAACCATCCAAGAAGCAGCCTTTTATGTTTCTAAAGTTTTGCAAGAACTTGCCTTAGATCAAGATAGCATGAAATTACCAATCGAAGAGCACAATCATTCTTTACTCTCCACATTGCTTCCCTGTACAAGGAAGACCCAGTTTTTCTTGGTCAATTATTGTTTTTTTTTTAATAACAAATTTTAGGTACCGTTTTATGGAACATGATGCTTATTGAGAAAGACACTATAAATATTTCTTAAATTCTCCATGGAAGTTACCAAGAAGCTCTCTCGGTTACTTCATTCCGTCCAATAAGTTTGAAAAAAAATAATACAAAATGTATATAGTCAATTTCCATCAATTTCTTGGGATATTATTCTACAATAACTCCCTACAAATAGCATGAGTTACGGATTTTGCAACACAAAATTACAAATAACTTTCTTGAATTTTCATCTTATGAAAGAGAACATCGAGCTGACCTCAGCCGCAGCAGCAGCAGCAGGCATAGTAATCTTCATGGAGCTTAAGTTTGTTTGTCTAACGTCGCTTAGATATTTCTTGATCTCTTACATGTTCGTAGAGTGGGTAATACTATTGCACGATTGTTATGCACTTTGGGCAAGACCCATGTGGCGGTTTATGTCCGCCACCCAAACGGCCACTACTCTAACTGTCGCCAATCAACCACAAGACACCAGAAAGCTTTGTTGTCATGGTAACAAGAAATCATTAGGAGTAGATATGAACATAATTATGGAAAGATTAGGAATGGTTTGGGATCATGATGATGATAAGAGACGAATTATCGTCTCTGAGGAGATATTAGATTTGTTCGCTGAAAAGGAGCCAAGCTTGGACGAAGTGAAGGAAGCTTTTGGTGTGTTCGATAGAAATAAAGACGGGTACATAGATGTAAAAGAGTTGCAATATGCGCTTTCTGAGATGGGGTATTTAAGAATATCGGAAAGTGATTGTAGACGAATGATTGATTGGTATGATGTCGACAAAGATTCGAAGATTAGTTTCATAGAGTTTTTGAGGCTCATGGAAGACTGTTTTCGGTGATTTTTCATAGAATTTAGTCGCCGGAGTCCAGGGAAAGAGATCTAAAAGTAGACCTTTACTCTCTTATTCTGTATTTTTGATGAATATTAATAAAGCTAGCCTTGTACGTAACTAGGTATCACCTAATTGGTATAACGTGATGTGTTCAAGTCTCTAAGAGATATAGTTAAGAGATATAATGGTGTTTAGGATTAGATTAGAACTAAGATAATCTCGCTTTTTCAAAAAAAATCTAATTGGTATAACGATGTATGATATGTGTTTCCGTATTGAATCCTGAATCCATTATTACCTGCGATCGAGACTGAAAATAAAAGTACCTACACATGATGAGTTTGAATCCACTATTTCATTTTCATGACAATATTCTCAGCTGTTTATAACGTTGAACGTTATATTGGAATTAGTTTTTGTTTTGGTTTATTCCAATTTGTACGGTAGAAACTAGAAAGCAGAACCCTATTTGGGCATTTTTTATTAGCCAAGTTGCTTTGACCTTGAAAATGCATGATTAAATAATTTGGTATAGCTTGACCCCTTTAAGGTTTAACTATGGTTAAGGCTCGTAAGGGTTGGAAATTATGTTTCATATACACAATTGGTAACTATCATTTTAATTGTAAACCATAATTTTTTTGACTTAATGGTTCTTTATATTAAAGTTTAAAACTATATTTGACAAATTAGATAAAAGATTAGTTGTTGCTAAAAAGTTAGTTAATATCTGATAAAAAATCATGTTTAATAAACTAATTGATAAACTAGTTAAAAATATAAAATTATATATATATATATATATATATATATATATATATATATATATATATATATATATGTATTATAAATGATAAAACTGTAAATTTGGTCCCTGTGATATTCAAAAAACTTTGGATAGGGTCCAAAAAGTTTTTAACTTTCATGGAAGGTCCAAAATCAAGGTTTTTCTGGGTTTTTGGTCCAAAAAAACTTAAAAAGACGGGAATGCCCTTTTGATTTCTTTTTCCCTTTTTCTATAAGTATTTTAATGATATTTTCACTTAAAAAAAAAGAATTTTTCACCCCTACCCCATCGTACTCTCTCTCTATCTCTCTTTGACTCTTTCTCTCTCATTTCAATGGTTGAACTATTTGAGATCAAACATTAAACATGGCGAATTTTCTGATGATGAAGATAAAGTTATATGTGTCCTCTTTGCTAGCATTGGTAGCAGGTACACTTTCTCATTCAAGTTTCAGTATTAAGGGGGATTTTGTGGTATTTAGCACGCAAAAATGGAGATTTTTTGTCAAGATCTCTCATATGTGAATATATATATATATATATATATATATATATATATATATATATATATATATATATATATATATATATATATATATGCAGAAATCTAGAAGTTCGAATAACTTAATGTACAGGTGGTCAATAATGGTTGCATAATTACCAGGAAGAACAGACAATGATATCAAGAACTACTGGAACACAAAGTTAAAGAAGAAGATGAACAACTTAATCACCCTACCCGAACTTAGAAAACCTCATCAACATCTTCAATGTTTCAGTTCTTCAACAAACTACAACTACCCATCACAATCGATTTTTCAAAATAGTAATATCAATGTTAATGCTCCATTATCATCATCAATATCATCGTCTCCATCATATTTGTACAGTACAAATACTTCTAGCTACCATGATCAAACCTTATCTATCCCATCTAGCCCTAGAATTAATGCTGCTAATCGTTAACATCCAGTTCTCCAATCACAAGATCATGGATTTCTTGGTTTGGTTTCCACGGAGACTTACCAGCAGGAGGTAAAAGACAGTTCTACCTTTGTCTTCTTTGGAGGTGATCAAGCTAGTTGTAGTTCTAATTCTGATAGGAGTTGCCATTATGAGTATCGTAGTACTGTTGGTGTATATGACCAGAATCGTAACAACTTGAGTGATTCTTACAAGGAATTTGGTGGGTATTATGATAAGGAAAAAGGGTATTATGAGGATGCTTCATTAGACTTTAGTCTTGAGGAGATCAAGCGGATGAGAGAGAAAGAGAGACGGGGGAGTAGAGAAGAGAGAGAGAGAGAGAGAGAGAGAGAGAGAGAGAGAGAGTACGGTAGGTGGGGGTGGGGTGGAAAATTCTTTTTTTTTTCTTTTTTTTTTAAAGTCAAAATAGCATTAAAATACTTATAGAAAAAGGGAAAAAGAAATCAAAAGAGCATAACCGTCTTCTTAAGTTTTTTTGGACCAAAAATCTATAAAAGTCTTGATTTTGGACATTCCATTCAAATTGAAAACTTTTTGGATCCTATCCAAAGTTTTTTGAATACCACAGGGACCAAATTTGAAGTTTTGTCAAATAGTAACTATATATACTTAAAAATAAAAGTTGATGTATAAATTTATTAAACTTTATAAGATTGTATGCATTTGAGAAAATGAGAAGGTGTGAGGGTGGAATGATGACAATGTTTTCTATGCAACTCTTAGGCTACAAGGATTAGATGGAAAACAACTTGGCATCTTCTCCGTGGAGCTCGACATGGTGATAGCACGCCACCCCTTAAGACCGGCAAGTGAAGAAAATATGACTTCCTCGATAGTAGGCTATATCGAGTCTCTCTCATTTGTAAGGGTTGTACGTTGACGTCGGCTGGAATACAGATGGACATTTGGACCAGGGAACCGGTTAGAACCGTAACCCGGTGGAACTGGTCGGGCCGGGATCGGGACGACATTTTTGTGGTCGGTCAGAATCGTAACCCGGTGGAACTGGTCGGTTAGAACCGTAAACCGGTAGAACCGGACCCGATAAAACCGGCAAAAACCGATAGAACCGACAAAAAATGGAACCATATCTTGCTATTTCTCGATGTCCGGTTTCAACATTGAAGACACAACAAGAACTAGTAGGAACCGGGAACTAGTAGAACCAGTGATCCGATTCGGTTCTTAATTTTGGCCGACTTCGGTTCCCGGGCCGGGTCCGGTTCCAACCGGAACAGTTCTTTTCATCATCCCTAGGTTGGAAAGAAGCTAAGGTGGTGTTCAACAATGTCGACACCACTCATCATAGCTTTATTAAGTTATATGCACTAACGATTAAATAAAAACTATGTATTTATTCGATTTATTAAAAACCAATTGTATTTTTATATAAATAAATTTTGATAAAAAAATAAAACTGAATAATGACAACATCATAAATGATGGACATGATAGGCACCAATCTTTTGTAAACACTTCTTTAGAAATAATAAGAAAAAACGTTGTTTGACAACATGAATTGTTAACTTTTAGTTTAAGAAAAAAGTTTTGAATTCAAAAGTTAACTTCAAATAGTTTTTCAAAGCTTTTAAATTATAATTTTTTAACTAGATTTATACATTTAAAAGCTAACTACTTTTGTCAAACACTTATTTATAAATAAAAGTTACACCTTTCACCTTTAGCTACCAACTAGTTTTGTCAAAAACGTTGTATGTCTTATTTACGAGATTTGTCATTGTTTTTTGGGATAATGACTTAAAAGGGTAATATATTATTTGATTCGTACACATTTGGTCACTGAATTTATTTTTTGTTCACATTTACCCCCTTCAACTTGTTAAACTGTACACATTCAATCCTTATGACCGGTTATTTCAGGTTAACCGGTAAAAATGTCTTAATAGTGTAATATATTTCTCATTTTGTACACATTTAGTCCTTAACGTTTTTGTACACATTTAGTTCTTAATTTTTTTTGTTGCAAATAATTTATTTTTGTTTTTGTACTCATTCATTAGTTATGAATATTTTCTTTAAGTTTTTCTCATAACATCTTACATGGAACAATCATTAACGAGGAGTTTTAGGCTTTTGATGTTTATGTCCATCGTGATCTCAACTATTTGGTTGCTTAGGTCATGTGTTTTGAATGTCATAAGTTTTTCATACTATCTCAGATTTTAACGATCTTTATATCTACGTGTTTGTATTTTAGTCTACTACAACTTTCGTTTAGACTACCCCCGTTAAAAAATAATATATTTTTTTAATTACGATCTTTATATCCATACGTTTTTATGAATGCATGTATGTATGTTTTTTTTTATAAAATCGTAAGTAAAAATATATTATATTTTAACAGAAGTAATCTTAACAAAAATTATAATAGAGTTAAAAACGAACATGCATATATAAAAATCGTTAAAATCAAACATCGTATGAAGAAGTTACGACGTTCAGAATACAAAACCTAAGCCAAACCATAAGACCTGTGCAACCAAGCAGTCGAGGCCACGATGGACATAAGCATCAACAACCCCAAACACCTCATCAATCAGGGACGGATGCAGGATTTGGTAGTAGGTGTTGCCAGTCTGTAGTAGGTGTTGCCAGTAAGTAGAAAAAAGAAAAAAATCGAAAAATATTCACTGCATACAGAAAAAGCATGGGTTGTCGGTGCCACTGCGGGCACCAAAAGAGAACCGTCTCTGTCATCAATGATAGTCCCATGTTAGATGTCATGAGAAAAACTATAAATAAATCATTCATAAGTACTGAATTTGTACAAAAACAAAAAATGACTTATTTTGAAACAAAAAAAATATTAAGGGTTAAATGTGTACAAAAATATTAAGGAATAAATGTGCACAAAATGAGAAATATATTACCCTAATAAACCATTTTTTTCGGCTAACTTGTAGTAACCGGTCATAAGGACTGAATGTGTACAGTTTAACAAGTTGAAGGGGTAAATGTGGATGAAAAAAAAAACTCAGTGACCAAATATGTATAAATCGAAAAATATATTACCCTTTTAAGTCATTATCCCTTGTTTTTTTGTTTTTTAATTTTCCATAAATTATCCTTTTGTTCGATATTTCTTCATATAAGACACCATAAATAATATAAAAAATAGTTTAGATTATGTTTGACGTGTTACAACTAACTTATAAAAGAATTTATTTTTTTGATTTTTTTAGATTGTTATGTTTGACAAATCAAAAAATATCTTTTAAACAATATTTATTAAAAGCTAATCGGAGTAGCTTTGCAACTAGCTTATATATATTTCTTTTAAATTCTCTCATAAGTAACCTTTATTAGCTATAATAAACACATTTTCTACATATATTTATATAGACAAAACTGCACAAATGGTCCCTGTGGTTTGCTCAAAATTACCACTTTGGTCCAAAAAAATTTGGATTAGCACCACAGGTCCAAAGTTTTCATTTTGTTGCGTCTTTGGTCCAAAGCATTTTAAAAATTCTTCAAATGACGGATTTGCCCCTCTTTATTTTTTTTTCTTTTCTTTTTTCCTTTACTATTTTTTATTATTTAACTACATAGGGTCTCTCTCTCTCTCTTTCTCTCTCTCTCTCTCTCTCTCTCTCTCTTTCTCTCTCTCTCTCTCCAATCATTGAAGAACATATACAATAAAAAACATACTCCCCTTCCCGTTGTTCTTCCTCCCTACAACCCAAACCCATTAATAACCTTCCTCTGTCTTTCTCCAGTGACTATCGTCTTCCAAAATCGATTTTTGTGTTCAAAATATTTGTTGTGAATCATTTTTTGAGGAGAATCAATTTCTGGTTTCATCTTCTCCAACCCAATTTTTGGGTTTCATCTTCCATCATCGGCAGATAAGGTATCCTTCGTCGTCGAAGGCATCATCGTTGAAGAGAAAGATGTCACTTTTCAGAGCCTTCATCGGATTAACTAGTCGATATGCTAACGGTAGTCCTAGAAAAATCGAAGAAGGCTAGATATAAAGATCGATGTCGTCGGAGCCACAACGAACCCTAGCTTCGATTGGGGCTTCGTCGTCGCTGCTATGAAGATCCAATTAGGGCTTCGCCTCCGCTTCAGATTCATTTCTCTCATCGTCAATCTGAAATCCCTCACCGTCGTTGCTATGAAGATCCACTGTAAAAACCCTCGTTGCTGTGAAGATCCACAACAAACCCTGCTCTGATTCATCCCAAATGTTATCAACGAAAACATCTTTTTCTCCATCATAATCTTTCTTTCATTCGAACCCAGAAGCTACAAATTGATTTGGTGATGGACTAGACAGTTTCAATGGACATGATAATGCTTCAAATTGTAGCACTAGCAAGAGGAGAGAGAAGCAAATGAACGGTGTTCTTTAAGTACCAATTTTTATTTGTTTTATAGGACTTCTTTTGGCTATAAAGGTTTGAAAATTATGGATTTTTGAGGTTGTAAGCATCGTATTGTTTGTGTTTGCAGTGGTATTAATTCATGGAAGCTTGGTACACACACACATAGAGAGAGAGAGAGAGAAAAGAGAGAGAGAGAGAGAGAGAGAGAGAGAAAGAAAGAGGGTGGGACCCTACGTAATTAAATAATAAAAAAAATAGTAAAGGAAAAAGAAAAGGAGAAAAACAAAAGGAGGGGTAAATCCATCATTTGAAGAATTTTTAAAGTGCTTTGGACCAAAGACGCAACAAAATGAAAACTTTGGACATGTGGTGCTAGTCCAAACTTTTTTGGACCAAAGTGGCAATTTCGAGCAAACCATAGGGACCATTTGTGCAGTTTTGTCTTTAATTTAAATGAAAAAGAAAATAAATAATTATATTGGACCCACATACCCCCTCCTTCTCTTCTCTTCTCTCTCTCTCTCTCTCTCTCTCTCTCTCTCTCTCTCTCTCTTTCTCTCTCCATACCGTCACCCCTACCATCAAAGTCCACAACTTCTTGAAAGACCTCGCCTCCCACCACCTCCGATCACCAAGACCCTATGCCAAACCTCCATATTACGACAGCAACAACCACCGATTTCCCTTACATCGATGACCACCTTTGTTGCCTTCTTCCTATTTGATGACCATCGCCACTTCAATCCGAGAGATCGATTTCTGCAACCTCCTTTCCACCGACTACCACCACCATCTTTGATGTCCATCTCATTCATCTCCCCATCTGATAGATATCTAAATTTGACATTGTATTGGATATGTAACTAATTATTTCTAGTCTAGATCCACATTTATTGATGGTATAACATTAATTTTGTTTGTGTTTTCACGTGAAATTAGGGCAGAAGGTTAAATTAAGTTCTTGATTATGGGTCTTATTCTCGTTCAGTCCGTAGAACATAAATTTGATTGATTTATCTGTGTTTGATTAATTTGTTTGATTAAGTTCTTGTTTGTGTTCTCATCCCCATCGACAACAAAAACAACACCTCCCGATAGTTCCATGAATCTCGCTCGTTCCTACTTCGTATGATCCATAAATGGGGGGGTCATTTCCCCAAATTCGACCTATATTCTTATGAGAACTTGAATTATCACCATCCCTGGAGATGAATCTCGATAAAATGTGTTCCGTTTCGGGGATTGAAGCCTGAGGGTTGAGGAATGGGTCAACATCTTCGTCCTCATACATGGGAGTTTTGGTGTGGCTGGTAAATACTGAGGAGGGGAAAGGAGTTGATATCTATCAAGGTCTCTTTGGTCCTTTCATCTTGTTGCTAGCAACAATAAACCGAGAGAAAAAAAAACAAGTAAAATTTCAACATTTAGGGGTACTTGGTAGCAAATTGTGAATGAGAAAAGGAGGTGGAGGCGGTGGCAACCGTCTGTGGTGGTGAGGGAGGTTGCTTGGATTTATAACCGGAGAATA